ACAGTATTCGCACAGCCGTGAGTCCTGAGAGCAGAAAGTAAAGAGAAGAAGATGGAGAGAGCAGAGACGTCATTAGATTAATTAAATTGTTTAAATATGACTGAAACAAACGCCGTGGACAGCTCCTTTAAAAACAGTAAAAAACACAAACAGCAGCAGAGGTATAGCGAGGTCAGCAATGAGTTAAAGGCGTGCATTTAGAGCACTATTACAGATGAAGGAACACTCTGAGCTATGGCCACAGACACTTAAGTGGGAAGCCTGAGCACTCACCGGCGTAGGCGTGTGTGCTTCTGAATAAAGTGTACAGGGACCGGCCTCGCACAGACACACTACATCTACCTCTCCACAACTCGCCCCCATCTGAGACAGAGACAAAGACAGAGAGGATAAACAACTGTGATCTGTTGACTTGTGCGAAGCCTCTCATCCCTTTTATCTTCAGCCAGCAGCATATTAGCAAAGTAAGTTAAAGGAACAGAGTGACGCTTTAAAGGACACAAAGTTATATAATGTACAACAGCATCAAGTGGAAAGAACATGGAGATATCATGAGCACAAGTCTTCATTTCATTGGTCCCTGTCAGTGGCTCGGTGATGAGATTTCTGGCTTTTAACCTTTTCCACCTACTCACATTTTAAACTGCTCAAAAGTGGAGGATGGTTAACTGGCACTGCCAGACATTTGAGTTGCGAGGGCTGATAAATCCATGTGATTCAGTCAAAGAAGTAAATAACATCAGAGATATAATCACAGACGAGGTGGTATAATACCAGTCCACCAGATGTTTCAGTTGCATATGTTGTAACATCATTAGATTACTGTTAAACTGTAACTTTGTGTCAATTAAAGGCCACAAAATGTGATTCCCAGCATACTTTTGTGTCATATACAGATTCACACGGTACACGCAGGTACCAGTTATTAAAAAAAATGACCTCACCCCACAGTCATTGTCAGACGTCTCTCCGGAGGAAAAAAGGCCATGGGAGTCAGATTCCCTCCGCAGCATGACCTCTGACCTTGCTCACACGCTCACATAGACCTGCCAGGGCATATAAACAGCAGTGGAAGTAGCTCGGTAACATTAACTGAGGGTTTTTGAGGAAGTTTTTTTCTCTGTTAACATTGAAGATTTGAGGTTTGGGAGGCTTGTTTATTGATCTACAAATGCTAAACATTTTAGTAAAAAAAAAAAAAGCAAGCTCTGTAACACCAGCTTTTCGGCTGGGCGATAATTCAGTACTATCAGTGAAATCAGGTTGTGATGATCTAATCATACAATCAATCAATATTTTTGTTTTACAAAATGATATTGTCCCAATTTATGCTATGAAGCAAATCATCAATCGTATCAACTATAATTCATTTTAATTTATTCTAATTGGTAACACTTTCTAATAAGGCACTCAAAATGGAAGGGTTGAAAAGTAACGGCTTTATTATTGGTACAAGATTTTTTTTAATATTGTGATATCGACTTTTACTAGCTCTTTACAGTCCATAGAAGTAAGTCTATAGCATCATTGCTTTTTACAAAAACAACATTATGTTAAAGAATAATAAAATGTTCCACAGTGTGTGAATATAGTTTCCACTGACACATATATTAATAAAAATCAGCCTGTGGTAATTGAGTCATATTAAACTTATTTTGATGATTTTTTTAATTGAAGCTATAGGCTTAATGTTTATACAATTCCCATACAGCTGGGACAATAATAATGGTGAATCATTTACATTTTTTTGAAATTTTCCCTAGTTACACTGAAAACATTAGTATTGAGAAATCTTCGGTGTCACAGTGGTGTACAGAGGATGCTGTCTTTACACAAGCAGTGGGGTCGTGCTGTCAGAGATTTGTCATCACTTCACCTCACAGTAACATCTGCTCAGTAGTGTCCGCACTCCCATTACGTAATAACCTACGACAGTCAATGTTAGAGCCGGACAACTTTTCAGATAACGACGCGAGGTGTAAAGATGATGTCAACACTGACTGATTATGTTTTCTAATGATACTCAAACAAGTACTGTTCATACAGACATGTACGGAAAAACGGAGACAACTCTTAATTCCACGCCATAATAAAACAGGAAAGAGTAACCCATCTTACCTCAAACGCATTCTGCCCGGGAACATGGAACAAACCCATAAAAAGTGAATGGACTTCTGTATTTAGAGGATGAGCAGGAGGACACGGCGGTGCTTCTCATTGTGGCGCGGGGAAGCCATGAGCTCGCGCTGCTTCTGAGTGTTTGACATTGTAGCAAATCCTCTGTGTGATGTCAGCCCCAACGATGACAGGCAGCTACAGTCCGGGAAGCGCGCGCTCACCGGGATACCGTACGTTCCCAAAACATCTCGGGAGCGCGGAAAACGGAGGGAGGGAGTTCCGTTCGGGACTTTCAAAATAAAAGGCAGCATTGAAGAAAGTCAAACAAGAGGTAAGGGATTGAATATGCTGTGTACTGTATGTATGTATATATGCATTCAAGCAGGCCTACATTCAGGCTGGATTCATTGGCTTCATAACAAACCAAAATGACAAAATTGAAGAAGATTAACTGAATTTCAGTCAAAAAGTGGTTAGCCTACTTAATCACTAGTGCGCTAGCTATTTACATATATATATATATATATATATATATATATATACAGCCTACATAGATAGATCTTTTTTATACAGTCTATGAGATAGATAGATAGATAGATAGATAGATAGATAGATAGATAGATAGATAGATAGATAGATCAACTCGAGGTCATACATATTTAACCTATAGGCAAACAGCAGTGAAATATAGAAAAAAGAGAATCACATCGGGCCCCTGGTTACCTCGGTTCTTCACATTCCGTTTGCAGTGTGTAGAGTTTTATAATGCTGGAACAATTCCTGGCATCAGATGTGTTGTGTGGTAATAAGATTAAACACATATATCTATGAATATGCTAAATATAAACACAAATATGAAATAGTCAAGTTCTTGAAAAAAGATGTTATCATGTTAGCTGATGCTGTGCTTTAGTGGTGCATATTCACATAATTCAAATTCCAATTGGTAATCCAGCTGTGCACACTTTCAGAAAAGCTTGTTTTTGGTCTTCTTCTCATTCTGGCTGGGTTCTTACCTCTGGACCATGACCTGAAAGTGGTTTTGTGAACCCACCAATCATCATGTCCAAAGGAGAGAACCTACGTACCTTCACTGGTCAAAACTGCCGCTGTATTGTTGCAATGAATGCATGGTGCATAGCAGTGTGGTACACCGGTATGTAATTGTCTTTTAGGAAAATGAGACGTTTGGTTGTTTAAAAATGGTGCACATTCAAAGGTGTGTACTGAGTGGTTTAAATTGAATTCAAGATCTTGTTCAAAGCATAACTCAGTTGAGCTTTTGTGATAAATTGAAGAACTTGTAGGCCAGTGTGAAAACCCTCTTGTTAAGAGGATTCATTGTAAGCACAGGGTGAGTGTCGTAGTTCAAAAATGAGCTTTACATGAAAAAATCCAAGCTGTGGTCCTTGACTCTCACAACTTAAAAACTGTTACTATTCTCAAAGCAAACTGGGAATGATTACATGTAATTTTGCCTTGATCTTTATCTTGCACTGTAAAGGCCCAGAGAGAGTTGAATTACATTCAGTGGAAATGGTATGACAGACAGAGAAACAGATGAAAAGAGATGCACACATTCATATACACAACCACTGCCACACACACACACAGACACATCAAAGAAAATAACCGGAAATGTCTGTTCCCATGGGAAATCTGTCTGTTTCAGTAACTGCGATTCTGTCTAGTAAGTGTATCTTGGTCAAATCCTGCTCAGTCTTCATTTCAATGTATTGAACACATATTGGTTATCACACATTGTCAGTAGATTTTAACCCTTAAAGGTCTTGGGCTTGATTGGCCTTTTTTAAAATACCTTTCATTTTGCCTTTGTATCGCCTACCACACAACACATTTGATCAAGCATTTTAAAGGGTGCAAATGCAAACAAATATTGCAAATATGAACATAAAAGGTAAAATTGAGATAACATCACAATGTGATCGGCGTCTCTGGTGGGTTAAAAACTCCAAATGTCCCAGGTGTATGAATTTTAGTCAAAGAAGAAGATGCCTGTGTTTGTGTGACCACTCCCAGATGTGCCAATCAAGATAAGTTGAAAAAGAGTTTTTTCTAAATCATCTTTTGCAGCAGCAGCAAAAATCCTGTTCATATATAAATGTTAACAAGAGCTAAATCTTTCCAAATAGAGCTCATTTTGGCCTAAACGTCCCATGAGCCCCACTGAATGAGATAAAGTGTAATTAGGGGGAGACCTAATGGCCAAGGGAAAGATTCTCATTATTGCGGCATGTCGACCATGCAAATGACCCCTGTGAACTGTATACTGCTTGCTTTGGAGTGATTCAACAGACCCAGTGTTTTTGGTTATAATTTGTTTTACCCAGTTACCCAGTATGTTTTTAAAATTGCTGAACTTCACCCTCATGTTTTATCAAAGAATATTTCTTCCTTTTAAAGATGTTGCCCATGACTTAAGCACTGCTGCCCATTAGCATTATCTCTGCTGCATAACAAGCTTTTAAGGCCAGCGTTTCTGAAGATTTGCACTTGCATGTGTGTCGGCACAAGTCTCGGCTCATCAAGGAAGCTTTGATTATTGCTTGATTATAGTACGCTGATGTGTCGTCCACAACGTTGCATGTAATTAAAAAAAAGAGATCCAGGGCAAATTTGGTCAATTGCGCTTTTTTATGTGCTCACAGGGGAGAAGGGGATGCAGAAAAGGAGGGAAGTAAAAGATCTTTAGTGGCAGATAGGGAGATTTGTGTACACACAAGTAGCAATACAAACAGGAGATGCAGGCCCGATAAGGAAATTGAGGGAAAGGGTGCAACTCAAATAAACCAGGACTAATGCACCAACGGACCAATGCACCTCGCTCCCTCTCTTTTGTGCTGTCACTTTACAGAAAGAGAAACATGGAGAGAGAGAGAGAGAGAGAGAGAGAGAGAGAGAGAGAGATGAAAGCCAAGGGAGAGCTGCAGAAGAACGACATTTAGATGTTCTGGAAGTGCTTCAGAAAGGCATTCCTTGGATTTTCTCATCAGAATTGGTTACAGGACTGAACACAACCCGACAAAACTCATATGGATTCCTTCTTTTTGACTGAGGTCACCGGTTTCTGGCACACGCACAGGAAAACAGCGGACTTTTGGATCAAAGTGTCAGACTCGGCTTGTCATTTTAAAATTGACGGACAAAAACTGCACCCAAGGCAATTGCAGGTTACGGTGCTGTGAGAACACCCAGTGGTGGTTCGAAGATTACGATTTGGTTGTGTGAGCTATGCACTTCTGTGGTCGTCAAGTGAGGCTGAGCATCCACAGACATTTAGATGTGTATACATATTGTCTGAGGGGTTTGCTGACTGCACAGTGAGAAGAAGAGACAAGGAAGGGATCACATTCAGCTGCAGCGTGGAAAATATGGATGAAAGCAAAACTTATCTAAAAAGGCCTTGTTTTCTATCTAATATGTAGAAGGAGGATGCTTTGTGGAGTCACTTTTCTCATGCACAAAAAAAGAAATTATACCCTGGTTTATCACGGTAATGCTGTTGAATATTAACAGAACTTTTGGAGTCACGGACCACCCTGAAATACCCATGAAGGAGTCAGACCAGACGAGGGATAACCCCCTGTCCTGGGATCTCGACCAATGCTGGGGTTCATTCCTAAAACCAGCTGCATGTCTTCGCGTCAACACCTTGGATTTCTCAGACCTCTGGGATGAGGAAGACAGCACAGAGGACGAGGGAACCAACTCAACCACTGTACCATCAACCTGTCTCCGAGCCCCTCCAGCACCCCCTCCTCTTCCTCCCCCTCCTCCGCTTGCCCCACCTTTGCCCTCGGCCTCGCATGAAGATGCTACCATCAAATCTCGCACCTTGAAGCTCCACTGGAGGGAACTGCAGAGTTTGGCTCCCCTTCCCAGAATGACCCGCTTTGGGACGCAGACTATTTGGTCCGGACTTGAGCCAGTCCACTTGGATACAAACCGACTGGAGTACCTGTTTGAATCTAAGGGCCATAGCACCAGTTTTAATGTGGTTTCTGGAAGGCAGGTAAGACCTATGAGACAGAAAGATGCCTCAGGGATGTCGTGAGATTGTGCTTACAAACGTGTTCTACATTTTGCAGTATCTGTTTTTCTCCTGTGGAAAAAGCAGATTTATAAATCCAGACAACAAATTGCAGTGTAATTTTGTCAGATTGTGACAAAAAAGTGTTTTGCCCTTAGCACTTTTGTTGAATTTACTTCCATGTTAACACTTCTGATAAGGTGAGTCATCTGCTGCTGCATGATTTTGAATCTTATGGAAATTGCAAAATGTTAAGTAGCAAGCATGAACATCAGGGCATGTGGCACAACATTTCTCCAGTACACCAAACATTTCTATCTGGCATTCATCCAAATGCTGCTGAAAATATTTAAACTGCTCCTTACAAATGGTATGAACTCACCTGAATGAGGGATTTTTATCCTGATTGGTGTGTTATTGACTATTAGTTGAATAAAGGGCTTCAGATTTCTTTATACCTCAACACAGAAGCAGCCGTTGGTCTCGGTGTTGGGGATGAAGCGGAGCAACATCATAACCATCGCCCTGAGCAGTCTGCCCCCTCCCCGCCTCCTCCCCCCTGCTATCTACAGCATGGACAGCAGTGTGCTGGACAGAGAGGACGTTCAGGTATAGTAGAGGTCATGTCCTCCAGAATTTGAGCTTCAGCATTTGATTAACCTCTAAAGTTAGCATTTGTTTGGAAAGGCAATTTGTTGCCCTTGCCATGTTGTTATTATGTAAAAGTGAAACCTGAGCGGGGTGAAGATACGAACAGCAAAAGGTCCCATTAGGAGTCCTGCAGCATGAATTCATCTCTTTCCACATTCCCTTCTAAAACAGCGGCTTAAAGCTTTAATGCCAACAGAAGAGGAACTTTGTCTGATCAAGGATGCCAAGGCCCAGAATCCCCACTCCCCTCTGGCCCCAGCTGAGCTCTGTCTGCTCACTTTGGGGGAAATCCCGCATCTGAACTCTAGGCTTCAGCTGTGGGCCTTTGCTCTGGACTACGACTCCCTAGAAAGGGTAAGAGAAAGTCAAACAAGCATGCGATGGAATGGGATGGAAAACTGTTTTGCTATTTAGAGGTTCAGTGTGTTTTAGTGGCATCTAGTGGTGAGGGTTGCAAATTGTAACCGTCGTCTCACTCACCGATCCCCTCTACCTTTGCAATGTAGGAGAAGCTACAACACGCTCTGTCGGCTCTTGTACTAAATACTACGTGTGATCCTCCATTTGTTCAAACTTCACTTCTCTTCTTACTTCTAACAAACCAAACGACTTCTTCTTCTTCTTCTTCTTCTTCATAGTACATATTCAACGTAGTGATAAAACGTGCTCTGTAGAGCAGTTTGTCCGTTTGGGCCACTGTAGAAACACAGCGGCACAACATGGTGACGTCCACGTAAGAGGACCTGCGCAGTATGTAGATAGAAATGGCTCATTCCAAGGTAATAAAAACACTGAATCCATAGAAATTATATTAAATTTCTCTCAATAGATCCTTCTAAATATTACACACTGGACCTTTAAAATGATAGATGAAAGATAGATGTCTGTTTTGTTACCCTCTCAGGGTAGAAACTGTTACATTTGCATTTGAAAACTGAGCAGAATCTAGGTAGTTTGCATGAGCATTAGTGTGACCACCACGCTGCCACCTACACAAGCTGCATTATCATAAAATCAACCGTCACAGTAATGTCGGAATGACAAGTAATCCCTGTATGAATGCAGCACCAAAAACACCACTGTGGTGACTTCCTATCACCACAAATATCTAAAAATAAAACGTGGATTTGAGGGCTCACCTCTGTATGAGTCACAACCCACATTGTCCTCTAAATGTGTCCTTTCTCTTAACAGGAAATTGCTGAGCCTCTCTTCCATCTGAAGTTGGCCATGGAGCAGCTCGCAGCCAGCCAGACCTTCAGATGTATTCTAGCAACAGTGTTAGCGATCGGTAACTTTCTCAATGGATGTAAGGTGAGTGCGTTGTGATCCATTGTTAAAGCACTTTTGAGCTTTAGTGAGTCATATTCCTCCCCCTCCTCTGACAACATATTTTAATATGCCAAGGCCCGTGGTTTTGAGCTGAGTTACCTGGGAAAGCTGTCCCAGGTGAGGGATACACACACTCGTCAGCCCCTGCTGCACCACGTGTGTGTGCTTCTGATGCAGCTCTACCCGCAATCGTCTGACCTCTACTCTGACATCACTGCTGTTACTAAAGCTGGCAAGGTGCGTAGCTGCGCTTATGTGGGTGTGTTTGTGAGCCCGAGGGAGGATTATTTGGATGTACAGTAACAAAAAGGCTGAAGTAAAGATCACCATGATTGATTCCAACTCATCATGTCAAGATCATAAAGGGCGTCCAAACCAAGAACAAAAACAAATCCTATTTCAAACAGACAGTAAACTATTCAGTTACAATAAATCCAAATAACAAATCCACTGTGAATCCATTTCGAAATGCACTTCCCTTATTTTCTCGTTGCAGTGTGACTACTCCCTAGTCCAGTCCAACATCACCCAGCTAGAGGCCCTGTGCAAAGCATCATGGGAGCAGCTGAAGGTGCTGGACAAGGCAGAGGAGAAGAGGAAAGGAGGAAAGATGGAGAAGAGGAGAGGACAAGAAGACGAGGCCTTGGCCTCGGAGGCCTCGCTCCGTTACAGGTTGCCGAAGATTTTGAAAGAGTGCGAGGAGAGGCTGAAGGTCCTGCGAGCCGTCCATCGCCGGGTTATTAACAGGTGTGCTGCAAGTACATGGTTTATATAGTTCTTGTTGACATCTTTAGCACCTCCTTGATGTGATGTTTTAAGTTCAAATTGGAGTCATTTTGAGCCCAAAGGTTTCCTTTTTGTTTGAGTTAAAACTTGCTGTTTTCCTCTTAATTTTCGCTCCTCCAGGTTCCACTCTTTCCTCTTATTCCTAGGCTACTCCCGGGCTATGGTGAGGGACACCAAAGAGGAGGACTTCTGTAAAACCATCAGTAACTTTTCGTTAGAGTACAGGACCACACGGCAGACCATCCTCCTGCAGAGAGAGAGGGAACGGCAGAAAAGTGGAGCAGAAAGCCCAGGCCCTAACACTCCCGCAGCCAGAAGGAAACGTCAAGAAACGCCAACACAGGTTCTTATTTCAGATGCTCTTAAAGTACCACAAAAGGATTGAGTGGTTTTGTTAATTCATTATCTGCCAATTCCAGGAAAATGAGGAGCAGCGTAGGCTGGAGGAGGTGCTGAAAACACCTGAGTCCACCTCAAGACTGGACGTCACTCTGCCTCGAAACCGCAGGAGGATGACTGACTTCCAAAGTACTTTGTTATTCACACACACTTTAAAAAAAGCTCAACCTTGACCTCTTTAATTTATCAAATGAGTTACACTGAACCCATATTTGTTTACTCCTCAGGTCCTTTCTCACGGAAAATGAAGTGGTGACGCCGTTGATATTACTTTCAGGAGCCATGCGGTCACTGGTGCATTAGAGAAAAAAAAATGTTTGTGAATGTTATTTATGACTGACTGCTGTTAAAAGGCACCGTTTCGCAGCACAATATTGTTTAACAGTTAGAGAATGGACGGGATTTTGCGTCAATTGAGTTGTATAGTAAATATGCATTAAAATGAACAATAAAAACAGCCATATGAAAAATAAAATGTGTAAAATCTAAATGAATGTAGCAACATTTGAAAGAGAAAATGTGCCATGACATGATGAAAATAAAAACCTGATAGATGTCCTCCTCTTAAGAGTTAATAATATTGGTACATGACATTATATTCCACGCTACATTATGATAAATGGTCCCTTTTTGATTTTAAGTGCCATTCTGATACAAACAAATAAGCTACGAGTGCTGCATATACCGATGTCGTCACTGGTGAGCCGGACTGACAAGCGCGTCTGCCAATCCCTAAAGGGTATAACCACAAAGGGAGGTTCAAACATCCAATCAGAAACTGTGACGCAGATGTGGGCGGATCTCTTTTCTTGTGTACATGAGTCGACGCCATTTCGTGTCCACTGGTTTCAAGGTGATACAATCAGCCTGCAGAGCCGTAAGCGGATCTTTACCTACTCAAGTAAAAACAGCGTTGAATTTTACTCATTTTTGTATTAAGCTCCTGGTGAGTATTTTTAACCGAGAGATTTTTTCTCCCCTATCTTTTTTTTATTTTTTTCCTGACTTCCTGAACCGTCTTTGGGACTTTTTTGTTTTTATTTTTAATGCATTTTTCCTGGCTGGTATTCCTGAGACTGTGTTGGCTTTAGTGGCGTACATTTTGTGATGGCAGTGTGAGCTGCGCAGAAACTAGTTTTAAGTAGCTTCCACAACAACATTTTTGCTTTTGTTTTTCGAATAAGACATTTGAAAACCTCAATTTTTCCCCCCCGCTGTGTTATCGTGTTGTTTATTTGAGTGTGGTCGTATTTTCGAGGAAAGAAATATGGAAGATTGTTCCAGTCTTCTCTGGACAGTGTTCAAAACGGGTCGCCCTTTTTCTGGAAATCTGTTTTTAAAAGGTTTTTTATTCTCGTCCTGTGCCTTATCCCCACCCGTAACTTGATTTGCAGTCGTTGACAGTGACTCATAAGATACGTTTTTCCTATTTTCATTGTGATTTTCGCTGTGCTGAGGCAGTGTATTTTCTACTGCAAACCTCTCAGGAGTGATGTAATTTTTGAGGCAAGATGTTTTTTCCTTAAGTGGGCGCGTTTTTAAGGAACATTAACACTACAGTGTTTTAATGTATTGTGCAGTCATGGACCTGGAGTTTCTGTAGCATTGGTGCAAATAAATTTGTGTAATTTAGTATTTTGTGAAATACTATTTTTAAGTTTATTCGTAGATCAGTTTTTTTCTGAGCTGTGGAGCTGCTTAGACCCAGGAGGAAGGCCCACAAAGGAGCCTGCAATGAGCTGTAATCAGGCCTGCACCTTTTTGCTCTGTTCCTTTCTTGAATGCATCATCTTAAAGCTTTTTTTTTGACGGATCAGTTGCATACGTGTGTTTGTGTGTGTGTGTGTGTGTGAAAAACGTAGTGTATATCTAGTCTGCAACAAAGGTTTACAGTAGGAAGGCAGGGTGCTGTTGATAATGGCCCCCAAAACTGCAAGATCCGTTTTACCCCTATTGTACCCCACCCCCCTTGGCCCAAAGTGTGTCCTCTGGAAGTGTCCTTGAGCACCTCCTGGCTCCAGGGGCGCTGTTCTGCTGCTGTTGTACAGCCGGCCCTTTACTCTGGCCCCTACAAGGAGGGCAGGCAGGAGGAAAGAATAATGAGCCACCAACCCCCTAGACTGGTGACGCTCTGATGTGGCCTTTTTAAAGCTGACACCAGTCTGATGATTTCCTTGCTCACATTTGTCAATGCCAGTTTACATATCTCTGTAGAAGTCTGAGCACAAATAAGCAGGTTTGAGTTTTACAGATGAAGTATGAGTTATTTGTTTAACCCATTCCATTCCCTCTTTGTTTGCATGACCATTTGAATTCCCAGTTAAACTCCAAGCCGTGCGCATTCTTAACAGGGTTGGTGCCATATTCACTGGCTTACTCCCACTCTGGATCATTAGTGGTTTTATTTAGAAAATTTGCAGTTCAAACGTCAGTGTGTGGAGCAGTAGTAGAATTAGAGGCACAACAAACCAGTTCCAGAATAGTATGATAATCGTCTATTAATTATCATTAAATAATTACTCTAATTTGTTCCTGGAAAAAGCAAGTTCACTCTTAAAGTAGCCTGCCTGCAAAATGTCTAAAAGATTTTGTTTAGTTTTTCTCTCGACACATTTTCCATACGTCCCTGCTTTGTGGTAATAATAGTTCTAGTTCCTTTAAAAAAATCTTTTCTAATATTACGTTTTTGTTTCCCCCTGTTTAGTTTTTGAAGCCACTTTTTTGAACAGCGGCAAATCGTAAGTTGGTCTCAACCTTCTGTTTTTTGTTTTTTTTTCTCACCTCAAATTTTGCATCACTTTTTTTATTTTTTATATTCCACTTTTGTTTTCACCCCTTTGTGATTCCGCCCATTTCTCACCCTTTTTGGATTTCCTAGAGCAAGAAGCATGTAGTGTTTTTTGTTGGGTTTTTTTGTGCTGTGAAAGTAGAAATCGACTGTTTGACACTAGTGGCCTCTTACATGAGCCCCCCCCCCCCCCCCCATGTTCCCAGTTTCTGATAATCAAATGCATTATGTTCAGTGTTGATTTTTAGATTTTTATAAGAGGCCCAATGTGTTGCTAACTCCTGAATAACACTCACTTGACTCCCTCCTGCAGCCAGTCCTTGGATTAGGGCTGGCACTGACAAAGGCAAAATAAGTCCTATTTTTTGCTGCCTTTGCTTTGTAATGTGATTTCTTTTTTTGAGTATGCATGTCATTTGATGGAGTCAAATCTGGTCCATTACCCACAGAAACAAAGATACCAGCTCTTGATAATAATGATGTCACCATTATCACCCCGAATAGTAAGTTTGTACCCATTAAAATAAGCATGCCTATTGAATACTATGAATCACTAACTTGTTCATTTATCACTAATACTGTTATATTTTTATTACAATCTACATGAGGTTGCATTTCTCACACCAATTATCAGTTACACTGACTCGGCATTTAAAACATCAGAGTTTAAGATTGTATTCCTCTCAATTTTTGCTCCAGAAAGCTATTGAGTACATGCACGCAGACGGCGTACAGCTCCAGACACGTCTGTACAAACTGCAAAGTCATTTTGTCACCTCTGCCTTCAAGCATGAGTCCTGAGAGCTGCAGGCGCAGTGTCGTTCACAGTGGAAGCACAAACATTAAACCAACACTCACACATAACTGATCTGTTGCAATGAACCCACTTGGCAGTCACAGTGAAACTACAGATTTCCGGTGAACACTTTAGGCCACCATACAAGACAGCCAAGCTGAAACAGAGGATAGGAAAAGTCACTGCTGGTGTATGTCACATTCAGTTTCACACTGCCATGAATGGGCACTGTAAATGAGGGGTGACAGTAACCCAGGATGTTGAATGTGAAATGATAAATACCATGGGGACCTCACAACATAATGCAGTATAATAACCTAGCAATAAACATCACCTCTGTGAAGCTCGTCTTGTTTAAACTGGCCTTTTTTCACTGCTTGGATTTTGGCCCCAAAATAAAAAAGGTCACTAATAAACACGTTGAATGTCACACTTATGTGATGTACAAGCAGCCGACACGTGTTGCATGGAGAAAAGTCCTAAAAAGTGGACGCCATGTGCCAAACACACCTAAATTACACAGACAGTACAGGGCCCTTGCAGTCACTGGCAAAAAAAAACAGCCACATAACAGACAAACATTATAGACTTCACCTTTTTTTTTTTTTATTCCCCACCCTGCGATTTATTACATGCAAGATGTTACTGGTATTTTGGCCACCAAGTGTGTAAATGAATACCAAATTCTCCAATAAATGTTTCTCTTACTGTGCAGCAACACTGCCTGATTGGTTGCGTACAACATCATTCTCTGTCATTAGAATCGCACAGCCATAAGCGCCTCGATATAAACCCTGGATGGTCCCTCGTGAACCCCAACATTCCACAAAGAATTACAAACATTTGCTAAGTGGCCTGTGATCCCCCCCCCCACACACACACACACACACACACACACACACCCGGTGTTGTAGACACTTTGTCAGCTTGCCAAGCAACAGAAACATCCCGGCCAAATCATGTAGAGGAGAGCAGGACATTAAGCTTTGGCCAGGCAGCCTGCTGAAAATCATGTAATCCCCTGCTAGTAGCTACTGGCCAGGGAGGGACAGGCTGCTGCCGGGCTACAGTTTAGCCCAGCTGGTTGCAGTGTTGTGTTTTGGCAGGTGAGAAATGGCTTTATGGTGGCTGAAGTGGTTGATGATAAGATGAAGGAAGGAGGGAATTGGCGAAAATACAAGACACACTCAAAAGGCCAATGAGTAAAGCCAGTGTTTACACATGGGAGGGTTTATGTCCTGATGCTGAAAGAAAATCCCACAAAGCAAAAAAAACAGCCAGGAATGTATTCAGCCAAATCTTTTATTTCTGATGGTGCATGATGGCCTTTTTTCATGTCATAGTAATTTTATTAAGCAGAAGTGAAGTGTCTTACAGTTGGTGCTGGTGTTGAGGGTATGCTTGTGAGAGCTGTAATTCTTTCTCGCTATAGCTTCCCTGTGTTTGCCACATCATTAATGAGACCCCCCCCCGCCCCCCCTCCAATGTTACATAAGTTTGCAGCTTTTGCCACTAATGCACCAGCAGCAACAGTATGGCCTCTCATTTTTAAAGCAGACGTGCTTTACGCTAATGTACGACACGCTAATGCGACTTGCTTGTGTAGCTGCCTCTTTGTAATTGGGATTTACTACAAGTGCTGCCTGAACTGTAGATTTAAGAGGAGCAGCGGAGACGAGTCTAAAAAATCATGACGACATTTAAAGTCCCCAAGAGGGAATCAAACAGAGGATACAGCAGCTATGTAGTCTGTGGCTGAACCACTAGGCCAGAAGGACCCCCCACCCCCCCCCACCCCCTTTTGTTCTGACAAACCTTACATACTACTGCAAAAATGATAACAGTTGAAAGGGACATGTCACAACAAAATCTGAACTTATGAGCTTCATTA